CAGCAGGCTCTCGGCCGAGCGGCGGCGCGGGCGGAATGGCGGGGCGTCCTCGGCGAAGGCCAGCAGGCTGCCACAGCGGCGCGCGGGCAGCACGAGCTGGGCCAGGGCGGCCAGTTCCTCGCTGGAGCCCCAGCGGGGCAGGAGGGCGGGCAGAGGCACGGAGGCCCACACGTCCGCGTCGTCATGGGAGAAGCGCCGCGTAGGCGGGACCTGTAGGGACCGGGGGCAGAAGGGCCTCGAGCTGCCCTTCAAAGAAATGGGCGGCCTGTGGGCCAGGGGCCAGGTGTTGAGTCCCCGGCACCCTGATTCAGAGCTGCATAAGGGGCAAATGAGACTCTCTTCAAGTCTCAGCTTTAGTGTTTGTAGCTTGGGCTGCTTGGGGGGGGGGGGGAACGAGTCCCCTTAAAGGAGGTTCTTAACCCTAAGGAAATGACAGCCACCAGAGGACTGTCCTTCTAGGGTACAGGGGAACATGAATTGGGGCCAGGTTTCTGACCTCAGCCCATCTACACTGGCTGTCACCCTGGGCCAGCTACTGCCCATCCCTAAAGGGTGAAAGCCAACCTTCTGAAGCTTCATGGGACTTAAGATGAGGTCGGAGAGAAAGGCCTTGGGGGATCAGGATACCCCAGTCCCATTCCTACATATGTGGTGTCCCCTGCCTGCCCTGTCTGTACCTGCAGGTACTGCATCTTGTCCTCCTGCAGGGGGCGCAGTGGGTAGAGCTGGGGCAGGCCCCCCTCCAGCGCAGAGAGCTCGTACTTGGCCATTCTGTCCATAGCCACAAAGTCAGCCCCATAGCCATAGTCCAGCGAGCGTTCCAACACCAGGTCTGAGGGAACACTGCCACCCTCCAGGGTGGACTCTGCAGAGCAGGGCAGAGAAGAGGCTCAGAGTCATGGAAACATCTACGCTGCAGGTGGGGCAGGAGCTCAGAGTCTCCTCATCTAGAATACTGCTGGACCTGAGTCTACCCCAGGGGCTGCTGAAGGCATTAAATAATACATGCAAGGGGCGACAGTACTGGGCATGGGCACGAGACCAGCTAGGGTCATACTGTTATTGTTGGTGGACAGGACTAGGGTCTACAGAATACCTGGGACTGTTTAACTGGGAACCCCTCAGTGCAGGAATGTGAACCTAGTGACTTAGTGATTTCTAGAACATTAATTACTGAAGATCTCAGGAAAGCAAAGTCATGTAGAGGTGCCTTGTGGGACACCTAGCCCAGTCCTTGCCTCTCTTAGGGGCTAAGGGTCATTTTAAGAGGACACAGAGAGTGACTTAAGGGTCATGGAAGTGACCTGACAGATCTGTCCCTGTTGGCCTAGCAACCCTGGCCAGATGCCACCCTCCAGGGCCAGCACCTCACCGTCATCTGAGTCCTCGTCGTTGGCCATGAGAGCCATGCACTTCTCCCAGACGGCCTTGACGTCAGCCCGGTAGCGGTCGCAGGCCCAGAGGAAGACAGGCAGCAGCAGGGCCTGGGTCACGGAGCACCACAATACACACAGGACCATCCACGGTGCTGCGGCGTCTGCCCGCAGGCTGCTGAAGCTCACCACCTAGACAAGGACACAGCCTGGCACTGCAAGCACCATGTCCGGACTCCCAACCCTGTGCGTCGCTCTCCTCCCAACCTCAGTGTCCGCCTCCAAGGGGCTGACCCAGTGCCCTGCCAGGGGAGAAGGCAGAGCTAACAGCATTCTGGGCACAAGGAAGAGCAGTAGGAGATGCCCTCCCTCGCTGCAAGAGCTGCTCCTGTGTGCACAGGCCTTCCCAGTGTCCTGTGTAGCACCTGGTGTGTTGATGGGACCTTGTTTTGGACCCTAACCCCTACAGCTGTGGAAGTAATCTTAGTTGGACATAGGATTTTCTTTGTTTTGTTGTTGTTAGTTGTCTCTGAGTTGATTCTGACTAACAGCGACCCCATGGGGGCAGAGTTGTCATGCTCCCCATAGGGCGGGGTGTTTGTTGTTGTGTTTTTACCCCCAGTTCCGAGCCATGTTGTTGTGTACCATACAGCTGACACCGACCCCTTTTGATTGGTTTTCAGAGGCAAGGGAGGAGATTGCCCATCCATCTCCTGCAGAGCAGCTGGTGGCCTCGAACCAGGTGCCTTAGGGATTGCAGAGCAGCTTCCTGCCACTAGGTTTTGAAGACCTTTCAGAGGCAGAGTGTCATTTGTACCACTCAAAGACAATTTGTGTGTGTGTTAATAAGGCCACACTGTTGTTGTTGTTTGTTGTTATATGCCATCGAGTTGCTTGCGACTCATAGCGACCGTATGTACAACAGCCCTAAACTCTGCTCTGTCCTATGCCAATCGCACTGTCTCTGAC